ATGTAACAAAGCACCAAAACTCGACTCCATCCTTTTCCAGGTCTGAAAACAAAAACAAAACAGACAGCTCAGGACCCCGGCAGAAAAGTGACTCCCAGAAGCGACTCCACCCTGGTTGAAATGATGGGCGGTGGTCGAACCACACTGGTCGAAGCATGTCGAAGCGAGGCATCTCTCCTTTTCTGGCATGAGTATGTCGAGGAATCTGGACGAACATGTGCCATGCGCTACTTGCCCATCTGTGCACGGAGAGTTCCAACGGAGACATGACAAATGCATCCAAAAGCCATCTCCTTCTGATAAAATCAGTGAACTTAGGGATGGAGGATTCAAGATCTTCAAGGGTAGAAGGTTCCCACAAACACCTCCTCCGCTCACCCGGCCCCCACAAACATGCCAGGCATCTCCTCCGCAGCGCCTCCAATACCTGTTCAGCTGATGAGATGTAGCAAATCAAGCCCAAGCATGTCTCAGCCCCCATGCAAGTCATGCGAGTACACGTGATGCATGTTTCTGCACAAAATGGCCGCCGCAGATTGCCGGCGCATCGACTGATTGGACGAAAACCACCGATTCTTCGTTCTTTCAACCCCGTCTTCGACCGTCTTCGACATCGACGATACCGGTGTGACTCTGCCAAGACACCGCATTGAGCCTGGCACGAGGACGTGAAGCGTCTTTGGTGCTGGGTCCAATGCGAGAAACGGGTTGGACGGAAGGACGAAAGACGGACGTTCCACGGTGCATGAGCTGTTCCCTACTTGAATCACGAAGCTGTTCCCTGTGCATTGGGTTCATATGTGTGTTCATATTCAAAGGCTTCTACAGTAACCTTTCTTAATCTGTTTTGATTCGATTGCTTAGCGCTTCTGCACATCTTTGGAAGCAGAAACACCAGCAAAAGCTGTGCCATGTCTCGACGGATCGTTGCATCCTTTCAGCCCAACCTGGCACTCATCCGCAGGGAAAGGACCATGGCTGGCAGGACGGCAAGCACCACCAGAACTGCGGCGACATCAACGGGGACATCAAATCAGTTGGTCTTGTTCAGGTGTTGAAGACTAACTTCTTTCGTTGGCTACAAGACTCTACAACATCTGTTTTCTTGGAGTGATGTCAAGCCGTTTTGCACCGATACGAAGGTCTGTGCACCATCCGATTCTCCGAAGGATCATCGCGACGAGATCCGGATCCAGCGAAGAGTTTTTGGATCGAACGTGTAAATCTCCGCAGCCCTGCCGCTCGACCCATGCCTCTGGTAAGCCTTCTCTGATGTCTGGCTACGCAGCTTGTACAGGCCTACCAGGATCGGCCGCGGCTCGAAAACAACCATCGAGTTGGCTGGTGAATTGCATGTTTGAATCCTGCTGTTGCAGGCTCTACACAATGCCGCGTTCTTCGTTTGCACAATGTCGACTGATTAATAAAGCCTCTTACTGCGTAATATAGCATATAGCATATTTTGTCATTGATCAAGAGTCTACATTGCTACATAACTTGCTTTCGAGGCACAGTGGTAGCCACCCTCGTGGCTGGGGTCGTTCCACTCGGCTGGACCTCAAGGATCGCCCACGGCGGCGTGGGTCGAGCCGCGACGGCGCCGCGACGGCGCCGCGCTTGCTTTTCGAGTGGCAGTTATTCTTTCCAGCTGGACAGGGTGGAGTGTGCGCCTTGGACACCGGAGAGGAGAGGAGAGGAGGGTGGAGTGTGCACTTGGCTTTGAGGTTCGGCATCTTTGTGCGAAGAAAAGGTCGTGTCCTGTACACGAATTGCTCAAAGGTTGTGCCTAAAAGCACCTGACCATCTGAGGCGTTCATGAACTTGCTTCCTTACCCTGAACATCCTGAAACCAATCTCTCGAAGTCTTGTGCTTGATTATCACGCTTTCCATCTAGATTCAACATGTTTGCAGCCCAACGTTTCCGAATCTTCTTGCATAAGACATCGTAAGACAAAGAGGTCTAAGTTCAGACAGAATAAGAAAAAATTAGCCAGGCTTGTCATTTCGAGGTCTTGGCTTTGAACTTCTCCTGGAATCGGTTCTGGGCGATGAACATGGGATGATTCGAGAATCATTCTGCATTTGCGCGTTTCATCGGTTCAAAGACTCATCAAACCCGTCTGATGCGATTCATCGGTCGACTTCTTCAGACTTCGGAGGGTTCATCGCCTCGAGACCAGAGAGCTTCACGGCCGGGGTCGTGGGCCTCGTTCGAGGCCCCAACTGAGCCACGTGACGTCTGGTTTTCCACACCGGAGACATGAGATGCACTTACTCGAGGCTGGATGGATCCAAACGGTGTGGAAAACACCACTTGTCCCAAACTCAAAAGGAATCCTTGAATATCCTTGAGGCCTTTGGGCCGAAGAAACCCGAACATGAGACTTCTTTGGGGGCCTAAGCCGACCCATCGGCACCCAAAAAGGACGTCCAACACGAGTGGGCGTTTTTCATGTTCCCACTAAAAGGGTCTTTACAGCAAACTCACACCCGTCCCACACTTAAAAGGTCTTTCAGTGTTATCATCGAAAAGAAGAACTCCTTCGCAAGTCTCAGGTCTTTCGGATTCTCCCGGTGTGTCTTGAACACACCCACAAAACTGCGAAACACACTCTGGAAAACACCGGCCTGAAGAACAAAGCGGCCAATGCACCAATGACCAGTAGCCTATGAGTGCTGGAACGCGAAAAAACATCTGGGCGAGACCAGTCGTCTGGGCATCTCTCTCTCTCTCTCTAATCATTTCGGAAGAACAGAAGATCAGGCGACAAGTGTTCCGATCTGCGATACAAAAACAGCTTTCAGTGCTCAGTGCGAAAGATCAGGCGTCGCAGCCCCTCACTGGATCGGTGAATCCCGATACGGAACGCAAAAAAAGAACGAGCTTTGTAGCACAATGGTGAGATGATATGAAGTAAAACCGGTCGTTCCAATGTATTTGTCTTGTTTCTGTTTGCATAGCTGCATCACTTCGTAATTCCCGAGCTCTTCCGAGACGAAGCAGCAAGGCCCAGCTATTTGAGATCCAAGAGACGCTGAGACGCTGCGTATCGGCCAGGTTCTGCCTGGATGAGACACGGCGGGTGTCGTTTCATCCGTCTCGGTTCTGTTCAGCAGCCGAACGGCAGCCGAAAAAATTGAAGCACCGGTCTCAAAATCACCAAAGCCAAAGCCTCAGCTATTTCCCGATCCCACAAGTCAACCCAAAGAGCAGCTGCTGGTCGAAAAAGTCTTGCAGTCTTGCAAAAAATAGATCAAGCATAATCAAGCAGAGCTCATGCTCCTTGCGACATGGGACCGCGGTATCACCGACATCGCCGGCACATTCGCCGAAAAAAGAAATAAAAAACAATCCCCAGCATGCCTTGGTCTCTGGTGGACACTTGCGCCTCCTGGAAGCGAAGGCTTTGGCCCAAACGAGATGGTCTCCCATACGTCGACATCTCATGAGATTAATATTGGAGCAAATAAGTTCGAAGGCGGAAGAAAACAAAACAACATCTGATAATTTCTCTGTAGGAGCTACTCTGAGTATTTCATCCACTGAAAAATTACTGAGGAAACATGGGACATGAAAACCAGTTTGCTCCTCATCCGCCAGGTCCAGAGCCTCGTAGCTCATGGGCACCGACCTGACCAGGCAACCGTCCGTGCGCGGGGGCGTCCACGGGGCGACGTTTTGGGGCGTCCAAGACCACCACGCACCAAGTCTCTGATATCAACGACCAAGACCAGTCGTTAAGTCGTGTTGTTGTCTTCGTTCATGACAAGAGATGTCTGGGTGACTACGGAGGACTACGCTGCTACGGAAAACATGCAATTCTGTGCTGGCGCAGGCCTTCATGCATGTACAAACCTGCTAGAACTGCCTTCGTGGGCCAACACAGAGTTCCGCTTTCCTATAGTATATTTATCATATACCAAAAAGAAACGATGCTCCAATGGCCCAAATATGTTGATCAAACATCCAGATTGAAAGCCTACTAGGAACGGATCTAGGAACGTACTAGGAACGTGAATCTTCAGCCTCAAAGACTCAATGAGTCCGGACAAAAAGCAGAACTGTCCAGCGCTTCGTCCGCTTTTGTGGGGAAACATGTGAGGAAACAAACCTCGTTGACCTCTACCACTTCCGAGCAGTTCCGAAATTGACAAATAAGAAGTACCGAAAAGAGGGAACAAGAAAGGTCTAACACCATCCAGAAAGAACAAAACTATTTCATGCACTACTGAGCAGGTGGCAAGGACCTTGTCATTCTCCGATTCTCCACAGTCTTTGCTATAGAAAATGGCTTGAGCCAAGGAAGCAAATGGACCACCAGGTTCTTCCATGTGTCATCATGATTATTTCATGTCATTTCTACTTCTCCGCTTCTCTACCTTGTTTTCAGCGAGTTCAAAAGACTGCTTGCGATTCTGTGCCAATGGAGCTTGCTTCCAATCTTCAATTGCCTGGCATGTCCTCCTGGTAGGCCATCGTACTCAAGTGAGTCTCTGAGCCACTTTCGGATGACCTCCCAAGGATGTATACTTAGTGTTCCAGGACCTTGGACCCCCCTTGTTGACTCTCAATCGGATGTCTCTGTCTCTCCCTCCGAGGGTGTTGGTTCATTGACCCCCTTTTCGGAGTGAGCAGTGCTATGAGCACATCCTGGAACAGTGACTTTGTTCATTAGAAGACAGAACATGACAAAGAAAAAGAAAAAAGAACAACCCGAACCACATCGAACCACCCTTCCGTTGCTTTGTTTGCTGCCCCAGGGAGCTGCTCAGGAACAGTAATGTTCAAAATCAAGAATGGGCCACAAGGCCAAACCGCAAAGCCGCGGACCACACTCCTGTGTTTGCAAAGCCGTGGACTCCAGCATTGCAGAGACCAGCGGGTCGTACACGGCAAACTCAGGGGTGCAGCACTCAGAAGCTTGATTCCTGGCCTACAGCTTTTTCCCTTTCGACTTCTTCACCTTCTTCGAAAGCTTTGTCTCAGAAAGCTTCTTCTTCATCTTCCAGACACTCCCTTCAGTTTGGGGTTGAACCAACAGCCGCGAGTGGCCACCAATGCCTTGGCACCAAGCCGACGGAGAAAACGGAAGGGCCTCTCGATTCGCTTCCGGACCCCCCTCTCTCTCCGAGTCCAAGCAGCCACCGATATCCGATCGACCAGGAGTAAGGTATACCCACCGATTCCGCTACGTTCATAGCTTCTTGTTCCGTTCGTAGTAAGGCCTGGAGGCCCCGATCGTAGCGTCCGATCGCTCCGTTCGTAGCGATGGCCTCCAACCTACTTGCGATGGCCACCGAGCATAGCGGTCCTTGCAGCTATTTCGTCTTTCACGGATTCACGACCGAAAAGAACATCCCCTCTACGAATCCGCGAACGGTCACTCCGGTCGGGCCATCTATGACATCTATGAGTCACGAATTGAGCCCGAAAAACTCCGGACCTTTCCCGTCGGGTGAGAGGTCTCATCTGGGAGGTCCACAAACGGAAAATGCGACCTGGAGCTCCACAAGCGCGCCTCATTTTTCCACTTCTGTCCCCAGATGAAAAAACAAAAAAGAAGAACAAAACCCGTCCCTTCAGCGTCTTGGCCAAGGTGCGGCATTGAACCTTGGACGTGCGTCAAACCACAGGCCACAGGATCAGATCTCGATTTATCGCGGGACTCTTCATCAGCAAGGTATCTTCATCGTTGCTTAAATGTGTTTAAATCAACGTTGAAAGATGTTGAAAGCTTCATCAGCTCATCTTCCTCTTCTTGCCGCTGTCTCCGAGAAAGGCTTCTTTGGCTAAGTTCTCAACTTGGCAATCGCTCTGGGGGAAAGGTCCATGACCAGCAGGGCGGCAAGCACCACCAGACCTAAATCCGATATAGGCTCGGGCCGTGTGGACACTCCTCCGTTTGGCAGCATTCGTTGCACCATTCGACTACCCTTATGGTGCATGGTGCTTGCTTTTGCATTTGCGTTTCATCGGTTTGAAACCTGAGAAAGCCCGACTTCTGGTAGGCAGTCTCAGAGGTCTGCCTTGCCAACTTGTGCAGACCTGGCGCAGAATCCGAGTCCGGGACAGTCTCCGGGACGGTCGAATCAAGTCGAATCCAAGAGGCAGTGGTAGCCACCCGCGTTGCCCGGTGTCTTCCAGTCAGCTGGGCCTGAAAGTAAGAAGTTGTCAGCTGGACTCCTTGACATGGCTGGAGCTGATCCAAAGCGCATCTTCACTGGTCCCTTCCCTCTTGGAAGCAGAAAAGAACGTTCCTTTCCACTTGATCTAGTCAAATCTAGTCTTTATCTGAGCGACATTGGTGCACAGTTCCACTGCCGCATGAGGTGATTCCATTCTCCTGCAGAACAAAGCATTGAAGCTGGCAATTGTCGTCACCCAGCGGCAAGGTGTTTGAAGATCCGAGAACACACCACCAGAGGCATGCCAAAGAAACAAGCATTGTTTGTGCTGTGAAAGACTCTGGGAGTCAGGCATCCGACACACCACCTGAGATGCCACTCCCACCGCCGCTGCTGTAGCTGCCACCGCCGCTGCTGTAGCTGCCACCGCCGCTGCTGTAGCTGCCGCCACCGCTGCTGTAGCCACCGCCGCTGCTGTAGCCACCGCCGCTGCTGTAGCTGCCACCACCGCTGCTGTAGCTGCCGCCTCCGCTGCTGTAGCTGCCGCCACCGCTGCCGTAGCTGCCATAGCTGTGGCTACCGTAGCCATGGCTGCCATAGTGGCCATAGCTACGGTGGCTGTAGCCATAGCCTGGGCTGCTGTAGCTATGTGTTGTGTAATGGTGGCCACCATACCCTCCGTAACGGCCGCCGCCGTAGCTGCTGAACTCGTGGCCAGAGCTGCCCTCAGTGGGAAAGTGCATGTCAAAGCAATTCTAGGGAGAAGGTTGCCTCTTCTATATATAGAATCTTGTAAACCTATTCTATCCATTTGCATCCATTTCAGCTTAAGGATGCTTAAGGGAAGAATCTATACAACATCAGCTCAAGGGCAAATGATTCCAAAAAGCGTAGGTACCGTAGGGAGCATTCGTCCATCAAGAAGTTGCCTGTAGGCCATGTTGGCTCGTGTCCCTTCTAAGCCTCTGGCGGCATGTTTTACATGGACCTTGCATGCATCGGGCCGCAAAAAACAAACAAACACGATACAGCCACGATGTTGGACCTCCAGTTTGCCATGCGCGTTCTATCAGACCGTCAGACCGTCAGACCCTTTGAATTTCAACAGAATGTTCAAAACAGATTGGAAAAAAGCACCGACTGGTTCTCTTTGGTTCAGAAAGTAACTTGACTTTGAGGAACGGTGTCTAATGAGATTCGTCTTCCGTTGCTTCTCCAATCTTCTTCGTCTTCAAACGGCGAGTGGTTCATCACGACCAAATCGCTTTTGCCAGCTCTGAGGGTTTCACGATGTGATGCACCTGAAGTGGTTCATGTCAGTTTTCTGTCCCTGTGATTCAAGTCAGGTGTTGCTTCGATGTCACACAGAAACAGCATCTTGCATCTTGGATGTTTGGTCCGGGCGTTGGGATTTCCTCCGCTGAAGAGGGTCAATCTTGCTCGGAACAGACCGTCTGCAACATTCTCGAAACCGCTATGTGTCCCTGTTTCTGGGGAAAACAATCTCAATGAACCATCACGATCACAAAGAACTCGATTGTAATGCCTAATTAATGACGCGATCGGTAGTACCCGTCTCTGATCTTCCGACCACAGTGTGCGATGTCGGTGCCCAAGAGCTCGAATCTCCCCCAACAATGGCCTAGCGCCGCGGAAGCTTCGTTTCTGCGAGAAATCGAAGAACGGCATGTCAATCCACACAATGTGATGTCGCCCAACCAACCACGACCACAAGCTGTTTGTCGCATTCAATTTCAGCTACAAAAGAAGGGTTCACATGCATTGTACTTGTGATTCTCAACTCCACACCAAGCCTCATGCATCTTTTGATCCTTTCTTCCCAACTAGGCCCGCGGCACTGCTGGAGCTTGATGGTGCCCAAGAGCTCTCGTCTCCTCCGACAATGACCTCGCACAAGCTCCGGAAGAACATCCACTCATACAATGTGATTATGCTCAATATTGCTCAATGCAAACTCTCGAACATCGCAACGGCTTTCTAGAACTCTTGAAATATACGCAACCGAGGCCAACTTTAGTAAGACTAGGGGCCTTGCATGATGTTGCTAGGTCCCAAGCATGATGGGAGCTTGAGGGTGCCCAAGAGCTTGAATCTCCGCCAACAATGGCCTAGTTGAAAGAACTGATCTTGTCAGGACACCATGGAGAATGTGCCTCAAAGGACAACTGGACTATATATAGAATTGCTATGGAAGCATGAAGGTGTGATAGAGGAAATCCATTATGTTCAGTCGGGGAGGCACATATTTTAAAGAGAGAACACGATTGAAAATGATAGGCCAAAAATACTATGTGAAGGGTGTTTGTTATCTCTCTTATGAAACTCCCTTGATAAACATCTAAAATGTGAAGGAAATTTCATTGGTCCCATTTTTGCTGTTGATAAATTGCAATCACATCTCCTTCTAAATCGTTCTAAATCTATTTGTAGTTGTTTTTTACCTTATAGTTATTTTGGTATCTCTCTGTATTGTTGTGCTAGGTAAACCAACCATAAATTAAAGACATTAAAGATAGAAAAGTGGAAGGTACAGTAGGACCGCACTACAAAATGTCATTTGCAAGCTGTGCCATGTTTACTTGAGCGGCTGATTTTGTTTGTGACATTTTTGCTTACAGTAACCACGCTTTCTCTCAAAGGACCCTATCCCTATCTGTTGTCAATATCTCCAGCAGGTCTAGTGACTAGCAATCGTCTTTTGCTCTTGCATTGGTGTCTGCTAGGCAACCACTTTGTAGTCAAGGTCAGCAAGTCCCTTATAGATTCAGTTGGTTCTACTTCTCTACCTCGTGTCATTATGTGTCAATCTCACTTGCTATCTGGTTCATGCCTGTGTACCGTGGCTAAAGTATCTCCCTTCCACAGGCCTACCTCGTTTCTAAAGTAATCTTTGATGTTGCACAAGAGCTTTCGTTTGCATTTCCTTTAAAGACCAAGACTGTGTTGGGCCCGCTGCACTGGAGCTTGATGGTGCCCAAGAGCTCTCGTCTCCTCCGACAATGACCTCGCACAAGCTCCGGAAGAACATCCACTCATGTAATGTGATTATGCTCAATATTGCTCAATGCAAACTCTCCAGCATCGCAATGGCTTTCTAGAACTCTTGAAATATACGCAACCGAGGCCAACTTTGGCAAGACTAGAGGCTTTGCATGATTTCGCTAGGTCCCAAGCATGATGGGAGCTTGAGGGTGCCCAAGAGCTTGAGTCTCCGCCAACAATGGCCTAGCTGAAAGAACTGATCTTGTCAGGTGCACAATAGAGAATGTGCCAAGAATTGCTATTTAAAAAATTATCCCGGCAAGAGACCCCAAACAGTGTGTGTGAGGTCTATAAGTTAATAAGCAGGAAGTCTAGAGATCTAGATGCATTGGGGTCCAGAGAGGTGATGGTGGTGATGAAGTGAAGGTGGGTATGAGTGAGCGTGGGTGAGAGGGAGTGTGAGGGTGAGTCGAGTGTGAGTGAGAGCGAGTGAGAGTCTGCGAGTGGGAGAGTGAGTGGGTGAGGAGTGTGAGTGTGAGTGGGAGTGGGAGAGTGAGTGAGTGAGTGTGTGAAGGAGTGCGAGTGCGAGTGAGAATGAGTGTGAGTGGGAGTGAGTGTGGATGAGAATGAGTGCGCGACTGCGAGTGAGAGTGGTAGAGTGTGTGTGAGTGCGAGTGTGAGTGCGAGTGTGAGTGAGAGTGAGAGTGGGAGTGTGAGGGAGTGTGAGTGTGAGTGAAACTGGGAGAGTGAGAGTGGGAGAGTGAGAGGGTGAGCATCTGAGAGCACAAAGTACAGGCCCCTCCCACGAAATCTGCACTTTGAGGTTCACCAAGCGCTGTGCCTGCCAACGAAATCTGCACTTCGAGGTTCACCATGCGCTGTGCCTGCCACGAAATCTGCACTTCGAGGTTCACCATGCGCTGTGCCTGCCACGAAATCTGCACTTCGAGGTTCACAAAGTGCCCTGCCTGCCACGAAATCTGCAGTTTGAGGTTCACCAAGCGCTGTGCCTGCCATGAAATCTGCACTTCGAGGCTCACCAAGTGCTGCACCTGCCGCGAAATCTGCACATCGATGGTCGCTGTGCCTGCACTTCGAGGTTCACCAAAGCGCTGCACCTGCCACGAACTCTGCACTTCGAGGTTCACCAAGTGCTGCACCTGCCACGAAATCTGCACTTCGAGGTTCACCAAGCGCTGCGCCTGCCATGAAATCTGCACTTCGAGGTTCACCAAGCGCTGTGCCTGCCACGAAATCTGTACTGCGAGGTTCACCAAGTGCTGCGCCTGCCACGAAATCTGCAAACGAGCCACATGTCCAAAAGTCACAGTTCACTGCACCTGTCACGAATTCTGAGCTCCTCGACGATCACCACCATGCCCAAAGTGCTGCACCTGCCACGAACACTGCACTTCGAAGTAAAACAGCTCCGATACCTTGCACCTGTCACGAAAAGTCGACTTTGGAGCACCAAAACACGAGGTTTCCCTTGCGCCTGCCGCGAAAAGTCACCACCATGTACGAAAATGTGCACGGCACCACAACGAGAGGGCAGTCGTTAGAAGCACCCCCCGCGGCCACCCAGACTTTGCGAGCCTGCACAGTCGAAGTGCACATTGACAATGTCGAGAACCATGAATGTACTTTTAAATAAATAGCAGCGAATTAGCCGTTCACGGCCGCGCGCTGCAGAACCGTAAGAACCCTCAGTGTGCCCACACTGTTTGGGTTAAAAGAACGAAGGTGTGATAGGAGGAAGTGAGATTGTTCAGTCGTGAAGGCACATATGTGAAACAAAGAAAACAAATGAACATAATAGGCCAAAAAAGCTACTATGTCAAGGGTGTTTGTTATCTTTGTCTTGTGAAACTCCCTTGATAAACATCTAAAATGTGAAGGGAATTGCATTGGTCCCATGTTCGCTGTTAATAGATTACGATCACATCTTCTTATACATAGTTCTCTATCTGTGTGTGGTGTTTTTAACTTATAGTTTTGTTGATATCTATTTATACAGTAATAGTGTGCAGGGTAAAACAACCATAGACTATATATTTAAAAAATTAAATAAAAACAAAAAAAGTAGGACCGCACCACACATGTCATTTGCAAGCTGAGACATGTTTACTTGAGCGGCTGATTTTGTTTGTAACTGTTTTACTTAACCGCTCTTTCTCTCAAAGGGACCCTATCTGTTATCAATGTCTCCAGTCTAGTGGCTAGCAACCGTCTTTCTCTGGCGGTGGTGTCTGCTGGGCAATCACATTGTAGTCAAGATCAACAAGTCCCTTACAGATTCTGCTGGTTCTGCTTCTCTACCTCGTTTCAATATGTGTCAGTCTCACTTGCTATCTGGTTCATGCCCCGTGAACTTTCCGCGCTCGAAGCGTACCGCGGCTAAAGTATCTCCCTTCCACAGGCCTACCTCGTTTCTAAAGTAATCTTTGATGTTGCACAAGAGCTTTCGTTTGCATTTCCCTTAAAGACCAAGACTGTGTTGGGCCCGCTGCACTGGAGCTTGATGGTGCCCAAGAGCTCTCGTCTCCTCCGACGATGACCTCGCACAAGCTCCGGAAGAACATCCACTCATAATGTCATACAATGTGAGTATGCTCAATATTGCTCAATGCAAACTCTCCAACATCGCAACGGCTTTCTAGAACTCTTGAAATATACGCAACCGAGGCCAACTTTGGCAAGACTAGGGGCTTTGCATGATGTTGCTAGGTCCCAAGCATGATGGGAGCTTGAGGGTGCCCAAGAGCTTGAATCTCCGCCAACAATGGCCTAGTTGAAAGAACTGATCTTGTCAGGACACCATGGAGAATGTGCCTCAAAGGACAACTGGACTATATATAGAATTGCTATAGAAGCATGAAGGTGTGATAGAGGAAATCCATTATGTTCAGTCGTGGAGGCACATATTTTAAAGAGAGAACACGATTGAAAATGATAGGCCAAAATACTACTATGTCAAGGGTGTGTGTTATCTCTCTTATGAAACTCCCTTGATAAACATCTAAAATGTGAAGGGAATTACATTGGTCCCATTTTTGCTGTTGATAAATTGCAATCACGTCTTCTTCTAAATATGTCTATATGTTTTTATAGTGATTTTCTACCTTATAGTTCTTTTGGTACAGTATCTAGTTATACTATTGTGCTGGGTAAAACAACGGTATATAAATTAAAGAGATGAAAGATTGAAAAAAAAAGTTGGACCGCACCACACAAAAATATCCCAAATCGCCACAGTGCATGATGTGATTTACAAGCTGCGACATGCTTGCTTGAGCGGCTGATTTTGTTTGTGACTCTATTAAGCGCTTTTTCTCCCAAAGGGGCCCTAGACCCAATCTGTTATCAATATCTCCAGCAGATCTAGTCAATAGGAACCTTCGGTTTTTGTGCGGTGGTGTCTGCTGGGCAACCACTTTGTAGTCAAGATCAACAAGTCCCTTATAGATTCTGCTGGTTCTGCTTCTCTACCTCGTTTCAATATGTGTCAGTCTCACTTGCTATCTGGTTCATGCCCCGTGAACTTTCCGCGCTCGAAGTGTACCGTGGCTAAAGTATCTCCCTTCCACAGGCCTACCTCGTTTCTAAAGTAATCTTTGATGTTGCACAAGAGCTTTCGTTTGCATTTCCCTTAAAGACCAAGACTGTGTTGGGCCCGCTGCACTGGAGCTTGATGGTGCCCAAGAGCTCTCGTCTCCTCCGACGATGACCTCGCACAAGCTCCGGAAGAACATCCACTCATCTACTCTCTGCACACTTTGTTCGTGCAAGTTGACGCCCATAAAATGTCAACTGAACTCCAAAACCTTTGCCACATGCCCACTACTTCTAGCCTTCTAGCTAGTCACATGCGTTCTACTTCTCAACTCTCCATGCCTTTTCACTTCTCTGCAGACTGATGGTGAAGTTCCTGCAACCCGCTGCACTGGTCTGCCCAGGCCCGCTGCACTGCTAGAGCTTGATGGTGCCCAAGAGCTCTCGTCTCCTCCGACAATGACCTCGAGCGGACCCAACCCGGCAGGAGATCCATGCAAATGTGTCGGTGCTTATAGCAAACCAAGGTTATCATGCTTCATGTTGCCATGTTTCGGAAAAAGGGTGCTACAGGTGCTTAAAGCGTCTCAACTACATGCTACAAGTCTCAAATCTGGTCAACTCAGCTGCTCTTGCCATAAATCCCAGCATGGCTTCGCATGGCGTAGCTAGGTCCCGAGCATGGTGGGAGCTTGAGGGTGTCCAAGAGCTGGAATCTCCGCCAGGAAGGCCCTAGCTCATGAGAACTTGTGAGTGCTGACATGTGCGATGCGGCCCAAAGAAAGCTTGGCTTCGCACTGGTGGTCTGTTCATTCCGAAAGGCATGCTAGAGTCTTGAGAAAATTCCCAAAGAAACGGTTTAACACTCGTCCTCTGAACTCAAGGCTCGGCGAGGTCTGCATGAGATACACTCGTATGATCTCGTAATATCTCGTATGTGCCTCTCATGTGTTGAAAACACATCTGGGTGTGAAGAGGAATACTGTATTTCTGGATGGCTTCCTTTTGCGGAAATCCACTTTTGCGGAAGAGGCACGCAACTCTTCGGTCTTTTGTCAAAAACGTCCGGATCCGAGGCTCAAGGACGTAGACGTGGGGAAGCTCTTCTGCATGGACATGGGGAATTCCAAAGGACCAGAAATGCCAATCAGCCAACCGAGTTTTGGAGCTGGTGATGGTTTGGAATCGTGACGTTTAACCCGACTTGGACGTCCAGGCAGATCCAGAGGAGTAGCTGGATCCATAAGAATGGCCGTAGCCCTGGGCAAGACCGGCAATGAGGAAGCCCCAAATCAAAAGTAGGGATGCAACTTGAGCTGTAGTAAGGTCCAGACAGATCCAAAGGAGCCAGAGTGGTGGTAGCTTCGATAGGAGCCAGAATGACCGTAGCCCTGCATGACATAGGAACAAGCAACTTGATGCACATTCAAGGTCATTGCAACCCTTGGTGAAATCAGCTCCAGGCAGATCCAAAGGAGCCAGAATGGTGCCAGCTGCCCTGAGTGGGGACAAAATCTGCCAATAGCCCATTAACGCTTTCCTCTTTTGTGGCCAAGCTGAAGAGAAAATCACTGCAAATAAAGTTCCAGGCAGATCCATACGAGCCAGAATGGCCATAGCCCTGACACCATCGGGGTCCGAAATGTCATAACACATGAATTGCCAATCTCTGTGTATGTGTGTGTTACTTGAGCTCCAGACAGATCCAAAAGAGCCAGAATGGTGCCAGCTGCCCTGTATACGGCACCGCTGACAAAAATGTGAAACAGCTCCAACACAACTCAACCAAGAAGAGGACAACATGGGGACTCACTTGGCACAATCCCAAGATGTATCATGTGATGTTGTCCGCAACTGCGATACATAGGGCTAAAATGGCGCTCTCGTATCACAACGTTCACTCGTTGGGGGAACCGTCAACCATCTGGTTGACGGTTGACCCCAACGTAAGAAGACGTCCAAAAAACACACCCAACCGAGGTCGAAGAAAGCCTGAGGGTTTTCTCCCAGACCGCTAAAGCGGGTTTTTGCGCTGAGGTCTCAGCAGATCCGCCGAAGCTTCCAGAGCCGCTGGAGCCCTTCACAGATTCAGATTCTGCGAGACCACTATCAAAGAAAAAGTCTGAGAGGAAAAAAGAAGGTGGACTTGGGCCCCTCTTTAAAAAGGTGACCATATTTCAAACATATTAAAATTCCTGCTTTCCCTTTGGAACTAGTCCTGTGCTGAGAAAGGGTGAATTGTGATGTCGCTTTCTGCTGAGGGCCCCTGCCGATCCGCCGAAGCTTCCAGAGCCGCCCTGAATCACAGGGACCATCCGTCGTTGGAATCGAAAAGACATCATCTTTTGGAGTGACAACGGTGCCACGAACTGCCGCGGGCGAGAACTAGATATACAACTAATCTGAATTTATCTGAGCTCAAGGCAGATCCCGAAGAAGCCTCAAATGAATCGCCCTTCTCTTGGCTTTCAAGCTCGGAGGGGACCCCACTCAACTGATGCAGAGATCTTCGATGTTCTAAGTGTCCAGCTTCACCACCAATGCCTTGGAACAGCTACACTTCAAACCAGATGGGAGGAAAACAAGATGCAAAGTTTGACTCCTTTACTCCAAACCAAAGTGTTTGTCTCAATGTGTCTCCCAAACAGAAACAAGTTTGACTGACATATTGCCTTCTCCACCTAACTGTGCATCCAAGATACTGCACTGGTCCTGGCAGCCAGCAATACGGCAACAATATATACTGTAGCTTCTTCTTCCTAGTTTGAAAAAAAGAACTCCACCCTTCATTTGGCCTCCAACCTATATAAAGACCAATGGCATGTCTTTCTGGCATGTCTTGGAACCCGTGCGCAACCGTGCGAAAACACCTTCGATCCCCTCCCCGCCTGGCAATCGGCTTCAGGGAACGGCCCATCGGAGGCAGGGCGGCAAGCACCACCCGAGCTGAAGGCAGGGAACAGGCACGAACGAAGTGAAGGAAGCTGTGGGCCCTTGTGGAAGACGTTCCGAAGGATGTGAGACGTAGAAAAACAAAAAGCACTTCCAGATGTGAGTCTGTAGGGGGGAGTATATAGAATCTCAGAGGCGCAAAATGGGGACTCTCGCAACATAGGGGACTCTTTTTTGCCGGTATGTTCCATGTATGTTCAAACCATGGCTTCGCATGACCACTTCGCCGTGAACATGGCGCATGATGGCACCAACTCTGTCACTCCCACCTCTGATAGGCAGCTTCCGATGCTTGGCGAGTCAACTTGTGCAGACCTCTACAGCAAGTACCACGAACGGAACGACGGCATGAACGAACTGCTTCAAAAGAACACCGCAGGGAGTTGTAGTCAAAAACAAAAAACAACATGATCTGAAAGGAGATGGAAGCAACATTTATAAGGTAGCAGCATCTCTTGCACCAAGAGGCAGTGGTAACCCATGATCTGTGAAGGATCCTTCCAAGATTCAGGGCCTCAGCTGAGATTCTCAGCTGGTCCAATATGTTGAACAAAGCTGCCAAAGTCTATCATGCCAAGCAACACTGGTGCATCGTTCCAGCTGCGCAAGCTGAGATAGAGGCCTTAGGAGTTCATGTGTTCGGGTCCTTTTGACAAGACTTGCTCTGGGCAAGTCCTTTGATGAATAGTAGATCGAAGATATCAAAGGCATGCACGCAGAACACAACAGCCTTGTGTGATAGAGGAGGAGGAGGTTCTGGATAGGGTGGGATGCATGTTTGTACAAGCAGAATCGTATCAAAAACTGCCTGTTTGTACAAACAGAATATTATCAAAAATGAGACTTGTGGAAAGGAGAATAGCATTCTATCCTAGGATAGTTTTGGATAAGGCAGAATGCCTGCATGTAGGCGTAGGTTCCACGAAGGATGGCATGCTTCCACAAACGTGAAGGCACTTTCAAAAGAGATGCCTTTTTAACATCCAATACAATTCTCAAACGTGCTTCTTTTAGGCTGGATCTGAGATATCTAGATCTGAATAAGGACCATTGTAAGACTTTGCACATGTAACTGATCAAGCGCAACATTTTAACAAATGATAAAGCACTGCCGCAACCTCCCAAACTCTTTTTGTCGAGAGTCGAGATCTATACATCCCCTCTTAGAAAAGGATCGTCAACCGTGACATCCTCGACTTGTGCTCCGACTCTCCTGTTCGACTCCTGGCGATCTCAGCGTCCCACGGCGAAGAGCTCCTGGCGACGGCGGCACCGCGCTCCGCGCTCGGCGCTCCGCGCTCGGCGCCGGGGGAACCCGCGGCGCCTTGGCGCCGAGGACATTGCCAGACGACACCGGGGAGGCAAACCTGACGAGTTCCGAGGCGCAGGGCCGACGCTGTGTTCACTGACCTAAGCTGACACCATCCAAGCCCAAGCAGCTTCAAAAGGACAATGGCTGCCACGGTCGCACAAACCAACCTCAGTGTCCCACTTCGCCCGAACGCGACGCGTCTCGGCAGATGAACCAACGAACTGTTGGAGGTACCGAGACTGGTACCGTCACGGTCCCCTCTCGGTACGTCGTCGCGATGGCCCGTCCACCTCTCTCGGTGTGAAAACCTCGACTTCCTCGAGACTCCGCAGGGCGTCCTCTTGAGTCGCGTGAACCAGCCCCGGCCGGCGTGGAGTCCGACGCGACAAGCGTCGCGTCGCGATCGCGATCGCGCGAGGTCGAGGACGGAGGAGAAACGGAGCAAATCAGAATGCAAGAGTTGGACAACAAAAACAAAGAACTTAAAGAAGAAGGCATATCGCGGCATATCGTGTTCCAGGCCACCAGACGTCCAAAAGCGAAGGCATGCAACCGCAAGAAATGGTGAGCCAATTCGAGCCCCCTCCCATGTCCACCCTTGTGCAGCTCGTCTGTTCCATGCTTTAGCATGCTTCAGCCAAGATGCCCAGCAGAGACGCCCCGCACCAGCCAACTCACAGAGCCTCGGAGCTTTGGAATCCAAGTAGTCCAAGGGATAGAAACACAGCTGAAATGGACTACTTTTTGGTGTGAAATGAAAGAAGCAAATCGCCTCGATGCTGGGTATGGGAGAAGTTTCTGGCCCATCACAATCTCTTCGTTATCATATCTTAGGTTGCTTCATGGTCTGGATAGCTCAAATCCAATCTTGTGCAGCCTGAAGAAATCCATGCTTGATCTTCGTCGATGAAGCATCTTCCAGTTTGATGGGTAATGACCAGTCAGCAAAGCCCTTTTGGCAAGAAGAATTCTGACTGGATTCAAGGCTCGAGATGTGGACTGACAGGCGAGTTGCTTCGAGCAGTTCTGGGATTTCGTCAACACATTCGAGCCATCGACTCTGGTGTCGATGTCCTCCCTCTGTTGAACAGACCTGCTTACTGTCAAGCAACTGTTCGTCTTCGCTTGCGGCACTTCCGTCTGTGCCTCCTGTGCAAAGCCAAATCAACTTGGTGAGAGACCTCACCAATTCACCAATAACATTTAATAGCTCTTTGCTTCCCATCAAAGGGCAGTGGTAGTCACCAGGAGGCTGCCTACAAATGGGGCCTTCTCAGTTGGAGACTGCTGTCAGCATAATGTACGACCACTCCAATTCTCCTCATCCTGCAAGTTCAGAGCTTCGTAGCTCATCGTCACTTCGGGTGCCTCACTGAAGGAAGGCGAGCAAGGGGGAGTGCGCGGTTGCAGACCCCCGCAAAGCTGTGCCGACAATTCCGATGCAACAAAAACAAATTTGAAGGACATGCCATCTTACAAGGGGCATGGACCTGATTTGAACTCTCTTCCGCCGAGGGTGCGGCAGGCAAAGCTCTTCTTCTCAACAGCAGAACAGATGTCAGGAACAGCTCGAGCCCAGATCATGTGCGATGAGGTTCCGGGAAAGCTTTGGCGAAAACGTGTGATGTTCAAGAATTTTCGGTCAGTGCTGGTCACAAACCACAAAACCACTGCAAACAAAACCTCCTACTGAATCGAAGTCGGTATCCAAACAATCCCTGTGCCGAGGGCAAGGGGGGATCCGGAAACGGCACATGCACCGTGTATTTCGAGTCTACGAGTCTACCAGAGTCTGTGCGCCGCTGCCGAAGTTTCGTTCGTCTTACCTCTCCAACTCTTCGGTGTGAACTACATTGTTGGCTGGTAGACACTCTACAAACAGCTGCCCTGCACATTGTTGTTGAGACTTGGCTACAAATGTCACTTGATTTTCTCCGGAGCCGCGCGCGTGTTCATTGACCGCCACTTTGGAGGGAGCAGTACTACATGAGCTCCGAAGAGGTTCATGCTTCCGTCTCAGAAATCGTCGTGAAACATATCTAAAGAACAGAGAGAGCTTCGGTGCTCATGAACAAGATCAAGTAAAACTAAACATGAAAAGAGATGAATCGAAGTTGAATTTTGCCATCGGTGCTATGGCTGCTTCTCAGCCCATCTGAGTTACTTCTTCTCAGATTTTTCGGACTTGGTCTTCAGCGAGAGCTTCTTGGTCTTGGCACTCTCCTTTTGGACCAAAAGCCTGGAATGGCCTCCGATACCTGACGTATCAAACACCGACGACCTCGCCAACGGAAACAGCACCTAGGAGCATTCTTGCTAGGAGCAAAGGGCATCGCTACTGGTAACAAGAAGCTACTAGGAACAAGTGCATCGCTTCTAGTAACAAGTGACTTACTAGTAGTAACAAGAAGCTACTAGGGGCTCCTGGCATCGCTACTGGTAACAAGAAGCTACTAGGAACAAGTGCATCGCTTCTAGTAACAAGTGCCTTACTATATAGTAGTAACAAGAAGCTACTAGGGGCTCCTGGCATCGCTACTGGTAACAAGAAGCTACCATGCCAATGTTCACACGACACGTAGCTTCCATGTCGCCCGGTTCCACCGAACAGTTCCACCGAGAACGCCCTAAGCGTGTTCTTGCGTTGTCCAAGTTGCGGCATTGGACCTCAATTCGGCTCCGAGTCCGAGTCCGTCGGCACACGGTCCCCAAAGCACCAAAAAGAGCTGCTTTGACCGACCTTTTTCGTTTCCATGGCGACGAGGTTCGCGCGCGGCGGCGGCGCTCCACTCCCAACACGGCATCCCAAAACGGCTCGGGCTCCCAACTTGGCAATCGCTGTGGGGGAAGGGTCCATCACCAGCAGGACGGCAGGCACCACCCGAGCTGCCGATGCGAGCACGGTCGACCGGTTTTCACGGTCGACCGGAGCAGCGTGTGAAAATGTTTTTTGACGCGTGAGGCCCAATTGGTGTGAACATGAAAGCGTCTCGCTATGGACTTTGACGTCAGGTGGGAAATGACATGAAATGACAAAACATAGTACAGCCAGATGTGATGAGATGAGCCAAGCTGACATATGGCAGTGAGCTGGCACGGGATGAGTATGGAAAATTGTTGCGAAGACGAGAGCTGAGATGACACACTTTAAGATGAGAGGAGCCGGAGGAGCCAAAGTGAAAGCTAGACGAGGAATGATATTGAGCCTGCACAAAGCAAGGTTCCCACAAAACCTTGCAGTTCCCTTGCGAACATGTGCAAACTACAAAAGTGCGCCGACTTTCCTGGAATGCTCTTACCAAGCTAAATTCAACATGTGCGAAAGAAAGCGACGACTTTGTCATAAACACTCAACAGATTCTGTCAACATGCGTACGTGCTCCAGTCGCCCCCTCCGCTCCGCCTCTGATAGGCAGCTTCAGAGGTCTGCCTCGCCAACTTGTGCAGGCCTTAGAAGTGCGAATCCGTTTGACACGGATCCGGACCCAAAGGCCGGCATCTGAAAATCCAAGAGGCAGTGGTAACCACCCGCGTTGCCCGGTGTCTTCCAGTCAGCTGGGCCTGAAAGTGAGCAAGCTAGGCAAGCTATGAAAATTGCAACAGGACAGCAGCTCTGACCCAGACGTGGGTGAAGGTTAAACACCAGTAGGTCTGAATCATCCCCGTCCTTTTGATAAAAAGTCATACAAACTCAAGTTAACATGCCCGGATACTTATTTCATCTCTTTATATGTATATATATACAGTATATAAGGCTATCCCTCTCGCAAACAGCCCTTAACATCCTGCTGAGAGACATTGGTGAAAGTGGCCCTCCTCGCAAGTGGAAATGCCACCACCGCTGCCGTAGCTGCCGCTGCCGCCGCCGCTGCTGTAGCTGCCACCACCGCTGCTGTAGCCGCCGCCTCCGCTGCTGTAGCTGTGGTGGTAGCTGCCACCACCGCTGCTGTAGCCACCACCGCCGTAGCCGCCGCCTCCGCTGCTGTAGCTGTGGTGGTAGCTGCCACCACCGCTGCTGTAGCCACCACCGCCGTAGCTGCCGCCTCCGCTGCTGTAGCTGTGGTGGTAGCTGCCACCACCGCCGTAGCTGCCACCTCCGCTGCCGTAGCTGTGGCGGTAGCTGTGGCGGCTGTAGCCATGTCCGCCATAGTGGCTGCCGCTTCCATAGTGGCCGTAGCCGCTGTAGCCTCCATGGCCATAGCCGCTGAACTCCGAGCTGCCCTCAGGAAAGGAATGTCGTTCAAAAAAAATAAATATATATATATATATCCAAAGACATCATTGCATCACGCATCACATGTGGAGACATGTGGAATCATGTGGAGATAGACGCACCATCATTGACAGGGAAAGAACGCAACGCCTAGCTGACCAAAGACATGGCACAAAAACAAAGCACATTTGACCAAAGACTGTTTCAGCTCTCCACTTACCAAGGATCCATCAATGCGCAGACCAGCAAAGCCAAGAAATTAGACTTATAATGATATATATATATACGCACATACAAAACAAGAACGAAAGGTTTGAAGATTATGTCAGAAAATCTGGCAACACCTGGTTGTTTCACCGACAGGCACCGTATTCGGTGAAAGATCAACGATCCCGGTTGATCATATGTTCATTGTACATGAGCTACTCTCAGATTCTGACTGCGTGACGTACATGTACCTCATGCCGAGGGTCTTTTTCTGGGCTTGTGAAAAGCCCATGTACATGAATGGAGAGAAGATCTAAACGGACCCAAAATAACATGGTGTTTTGAGGGTTTGATGACTCTTGATCCAGGTTCTTTTTCTACATACAAGGGTGTTTCGTCCATGACGGAGACGGACCTCATGTTGACTTGATTGTTGCTCGGCTGAGTGAGGTCCGACTTCATTTCAATCCAAAAAAACATAGTCAGGCTTTGGAAGATCGGGAGGCTATGATGCATGCGCTTGGGTCAGGCTATCATACTGGCCGGGCATTGGAAAGTGTGACTCATGATACTTCGACAAATTCGACAAACCTAGCTGTGCGATTTGCACTGGAGTGCTGAATCCTGGGACTTCTTCCATCAACTGGGTCCGCCATTGTTGTTTCTGGTTCAAAATTAACCGGTGGCAGCTATTCCTGCTATGGATTACCAGATCCTTGAAATCTCCACTTGGAAGTCAACTGGCAGCAATCATCCCCAATTCATATAGCCTAGCAGTGATAAAAAAATATGTGGGGCCTGAGCCCGGAGCTTATCAAATCGAAGTGTTGTTCATCAAAGATGGAACTGGACGAAGTGCTATAAGTCTTCCCGCCCTGCACTCTGAGTGTCTCACGACATGGTGGACCTGCAAAAGGTATGGTGACAAGCCACAGCTATGTACCATGGCTGCTGCTGTGTGCAGCTTCAAGTTTGCATACACTGACGCATTCATCCCTCGAGTGCAAAGGTAACCCTGGAGGGAGAGCACTCTCTAGCAGTAGCAGTGCTCTAGCCTGTGGAGTTATATTTGGAAAAAAGAAACAAAGTATCCGCCGTCTCTGTCTTTCGGAGCTTCTGACCACCGTGTGCGATGAGGGCGCCCATGAGCTTGAATCTCCGCCGACAATGGCCTAGCTGAAAGAAGGAATCTTGTCAATGCCCTAGTGTGGGCTGTGTCCCAAAGGAAAGTCGGCTTCGCAAAAGGACGTGTTGCTAAGCATGAATGATGGGAGCCTTTGGTTCTTTGGTTGTCCAAGCCAAATTGTGCAAGTTGGAGAGGCTCAAAAAATAGAAGCACCACTACAACCTATTTGCCACCTGCAGCTTCAGCTGCCTCGAAACGTGTTACAAGAACTCTATTTCCCAAATGGCAATACCCTGTTGATACCAAAGTCTCATGCCTTTCCTGCAACCCGGATCCAAGACTGTGTTGGGCCCGCTGCACTGGAGCTTGATGGTGCCCAAGAGCTCTCGTCTCCTCCGACGATGACCTCGCACAAGCTTCTGAAGAACATCCACTCATACAATGTGAGTATGCTCAATATTGCTCAATGCAAACTCTCCAACATCGCAACGGCTTTCTAGAACTCTTGAAATCTACGCAATCGAGGCCAACTTTGGCAAGACTAGGGGCTTTGCATGATGTTGCTAGGTCCCAAGCATGATGGGAGCTTGAAGGTGCCCAAGAGCTGGAATCTCCGCCAACAATGACCTCACAGGCACTTTGGCAGGACATTCATTTACACAAGGAGGAGGAGCTCAATGCAAACTCTCGAACTTCTCAACTATAGTAACTACATATAAGCTTCTACAAACCAGGAATCCTTCCCAATTCCTCTTTGTGAAAACAGAGCTTTGCAGCACATTGCTCAGGTCCCAAGCATGATCGGAG